GCTACATGATTTTACACATTGATAGCAACGTAAATTTAATTCCACAGGACCAGTATTTGACTATGGCCGGCATGCTATGTGTTTGACTTATTAGTAAAGCAATAATGGCTTCAAATCTATGTCATAAAGTTAATTTTTTTGGAATATAACACATTTTAACAACAGTAAATTTTTGTTATCTTTCTCACAAGAAATTTGCATAATTTGTTACAGATTTTTCAAAAGATTATTATGTAACCAATAGGAAATTATGACTTTTGGTCAAAAAACAAAACAAAAACATAAACCTGCAGTCTCTCGGCTGAGATAGCTCCACTGTTAGCAATGCACATTTCAATTAAAGAACTGAAGATATCACTAGAAAATGAACAAATCTTAAAGAGGTCTATTTGAAGTTCCTACATGTATAATATCAAAACAATCAGACTTGTGGTTTTTAACAAGAAGTTGAAAATATCACTTTTTACCAAAAATTACAGAGAATTGAAGATATCATGAAAGAAAAATCTGAGAGAGGTCTACCTGTAGTACCTATATGTATAATATCAGAGCAATTGGACTTGCGTTTTTTTCAACAAGAAGTCGAAAATATCACTTTTCACCAAAAATATTCATCAAAATTAGAGAATTGAAGATATAATGAAATGAACAAATTTGAGAGAGGTCTGCCCAAGGTATATATACACCAAGTATCAAAGCAATAACAATTGTAGTTTTCAAGGAGAAGTCGAAAAAGTAACAAGTCATTGTCAATGACACGTCCCCGTTCCGTTCATATTTGAGTGACATATACATTCAAAGCAGATCATGACCGAAATGCACCTGCATATGTACAACACATTGTGCTAAATCTGAACAAAATCCATCCATGCATGACTGAGATCCGGTTCTGGAATTGTGAAAATACGTGATTTTGATGCATTTTCGGCCTTAAAATGGCCATCATTCCGCTATTGTTAAGCAGATCATGAAACAAATGCACATATCTATTTGTGACATGATGTACCATGTGTGTGTGAAGTTTGAACTTGATCAATCCAGACATGTCTTGGATACGGATCCAGAACTGAATTCTTTAACAAAATGGCCGCCAGTCGGCCATTTCGAACTTGATCCGAAAAAAAAAAAGACGTGCATCAAGGTCCTATTATGTTTAATGTATGTACCAAATTTGAACAAAATCCATCCATGCATAACTGAGATACGGGTCCGGAATGGTGAAAATGTGCGATTTCAATGCATT